ATTTTCTTGAGAATGGCATAATTTTTCAAACATCTTTGTAAAACCCCGTAAATTTGAATATTTTATGATAAATAATGATAAATATGTTATATGGTAAAAAATAATATATTTTGATATTTGGATATGATAAGAATTGATTTGAGATCAATTCAATGTATATTTGTGAAAATATGAGTGCAAATGCACAAAACATGCACAAAGGCCAAAAAGTGAAAATCTGGGAATAATGACCAGTTATGAGTTTTTATATTTTGCATACCGATGCAGTTAGAATTTGGAAACGTGTAAAAGATCAAAGTTGTAGGTCTCTTCAGCAGCTTTCCAACAAGTCTTAGATCACCCCATTACGAGTTCGGATGAGAAAGTTATAACCAAAATACCGAAGGGGTATTTTCCTAGTCAGACTAGGTTTCCTGGTTCGGGTCTAACAGGTTTGTTTCGGGTTTGTCTCTATAAATACATATATTTTTTTACTAAAATTCCTTTCTTTTATCATATCTAAGAACTCTAACAGCCACCAAACCCCATAAACCCTATTTTGAATTCTTGGAGAGGATTGGAGGCTTTCAAGTTGGGTTTTTGTTAAATTTTTTTGGCTTTTGGAGTGGAGATCTTCGACGTTGCTTCTAACAAGTTTTTGCTTCTAACAAGTTTTTCCTTCAACCCCAGGCGAGTATCATCTCTACTAATCCCCCTCCCAGTTTTTAAAATTTTTTTAAAGAGTTTTTAATGAGTTTTATAGAGCCTAATCAATTAATTTGTGTATAAAAATCGGATCCTTTTGTATATATGTATAAAGACTAGGTCTTTTCTTGTTAAAGAGATTAAGCACGAATTTACAGAAGTGTTTTAAGATCTAAAAATAATTTAAAATATTGTTTATTATCTGAATTTAGATGTCTTATTCTTCATTTTAAAGTTTCGTGCATGATTGAAGGTTTACATATGATTTTTTTTGTGCAAATAATCATGCTTGTTATTTTTAAAGTTTCGTGCATGATTGAAGGTTTACATATGATTTTTTTTGTGCAAATAATCATGCTTGTTATATTCTGTTGAAAATCTGCTGCACATATATACTATTGAGCTAAAAATTTGAAATAACAAATGAAATCCAAATTGAACCAAACTAATGCCAATTGAAAGATATGTGAATCTAG